AACAGTCTGAGTTTACTCTTCATCCTTTTGAACCATGTAGGCGTGGCTCACTTATTGTTTGAAGGAGGCTGCTGCTTTCGGCATTAATTGATTCTGGAGCAGGATTTCAAACGTTTGTCTTCAGCTGTCCCCTGACTTATCAGCATGGCCACAGCCTTGCATGTATAGAAAAGTTAAGAAAAGTGGAGAGGAACTTTAAACCCCTAGTGAGCCAATCTTTACTTTCTGGAAAGACTTATTTCTAGTTGCTGTGCAGCATTCGATTAACTCTGCTCATTTGATGCCTCTGTGTTTTGTGCCAGAAAACATTACTTTTCTGGCAGGAATGGTGGTCGGAATCAAGATGCATTAAAAACTGGAATAAAGATCAGATGGTTCAAGCATCAACTAATACACTATCAACTTGATTTTTATAAAATCCAACATGAGCAACGCTTTGATTTGCGTTACCCCAGTGAATATTATACCATCTCTGCTGTGTTTTTCATGTTTCTGGTTCATCAGTAGAAATGTCAGGCTCTTACTTGAGGCAGTAGTTCTCTATTGTCACTATGAGCTAATTCCTTTGTGCTTCGTGCCTGCATGGCCCCCCACTATGTCAGCAGAGCTCAGCTGGTTCATTTGTCACAGTGTAGAGGTGCTTGCTAAACCTTTTTCTTTCATTTGTGTACTGTCTGCTGTTAAGCAGTTTGCTACCCTCGCTGTGCCCCATAACCCTCTGGCAGTAGGCGACCAAGAGTAAAACACTGGCTGTAATGTGAGAGAGTTGGCTGTACAGTAAAGAGAGAGTTGGCTGGTAAATGTAGGCCGCTCTGAGCCAACAACAGCACCATTAGCAGTCTGGAGGTAATGATAGTTGTTCGCCCCTCTTAGAGTAAGCCAATTAGATTGATTATAGCTCTGATTTGGGAGTGTGGGTGTATATATATATATTTCAGGGAATTTTCACCTAGAGACTTGCATAAAATAAGGCTGTAATATTCCTATTTGACATCGTGAACTTTTACTTCATGTGTTCAGTGTGAAAAATATTAAGACCACCAGCATTTGACCAGGTGTAAAAAGGGGAAATCTGTCACCCAGGACTGCTTTCACTCATTAAACCTTAACACTAAACCATGAAAATGTCACATTTTGGCTTCTTGCGTGTTAGGTACAGTTCCATTTGTAAGGTATTCACTTTGTGGGGCTGTTTAAGCACACCAAATTTGTGTAATCACAGTTTTTCCTTCAGCGACCAAAGGAAGCATCTGTTTGATTCTGTTCAGAATAAATGCCCGAAAGTGTAGGTGATAATGAGGTATAAGTATTAGGACCCAAAGCACAGACATTTTGCTTCATTACACTCACAGAATGCCACATGAGCTGCTTGGGTAATTTGGGCTATTGATTTTCATTTTGGAGGAAACAGAAACAAACTTGCACAAACACACAAATTTCAGTGGTACTGTGATGGAGTGTGAGCAGATGATGACCGAATTTCCATTTTTGGGTAAACTATTCCTTTAGGAAAGACCAGAAGATGATAACTTGATTTTATACAGTTTGATTTGACATTTGATTTGAACTTATTTCACTTTCTGTCTGTCGCTGCCTCTCTGCAGGTGGCCATTGCTCAGTTCAGTGACGATGCTCGGACAGAATTCCAGCTGAGTTCCCATGGAAACAAGGAAGCGCTGCTGGAAGCTATTCAGATGATCAGATACAAAGGAGGAAACACCAAGACAGGTCAGAACATTGTATTAGTAGGATTAATGTAGTAATGGGTTATGCAGTCCAACAAGAGAGGTATTCGGATGTCAGTTTAATACTTGTTGAAAGAGCCATCTCACCACAAGGTCCATTTAGTATAGCTTTCAGTCTATCACATAATCTTCCCCAGCAGATAGCAGAGTTTGCCCATTCGTCATGGTACTTTAAGGACTTCTTGTCCATGTTGGCTTGAGATTTAAAGATCACTTTAAACTTTGAGAGCAGCTGTTGACAAAATAATCTCACCACAAGGCCCATTAGTAACTGATCTGGAGCTTTCGGTCCAAACGTTTAACGTCTATAACTCCATAACAACTGGGCAAAGTCCATTTGTTGGGGAAGATTGTGTGATGCTCCAGAACAGCTACCAATGGACTGTGTGGTGAGATTGTTTTGTCAACCTCTATTACCAAAAGTCAAGAATGAACTTTAAACCGCAAGTCACCAGAACCGATCTTGATGAGCAAATTTGAGGAAAGCATATTGTGAAACGTGGAATATCAATGTCAGGATACTTATTCAAACTATCACATACTGCAGAGTGGAAAGACCTTAATGTAGGGTTTGGATGCATTGCAAGCGGTTTGGGGCTGTGAATCTATTGTGTGGAAGCATCCAGCTGTGCTAGTACACGCAAGGTGAATGTGTTAATGTGGCTTTACAGGTGATGCTGGTTGTTCAGAGGACTTTAACTCCATGGCTCAGTGTCTGTTGTAATTGTGTCCTTGAGCTTTCCTATCAGCTCCAGCGCTGATCGCACTATCATCTTCCCACTTATCCCTTCCGCCCTTTTCTTAACTCCTCTTTCTCTTCTTTCCTCCCCTCCATCTACTCCACTCTCCTGCCAACCCCCTGCTGTCCTCTGCTTACACACTTATCTGCCTCTTCGCTTTCCTTTCCAGCTTCCTCTCTTATTCATCCCTTCTTCTTTTCTTAACTTTCTCCTAAAATCTCTCGTGTCCTTCTTTCTTTTGTCCCCCCTTGCCCCTACATCTACTGTACTGTCTTACAGCTTAGCAGTTGGAAACAGGTGGCAATTTAGCTGACAGGGCAGTGTGTGTGTGTGTGTGTGTGTGTGAGTGTTTTGTGTGTGTGTGTGTTGTGTGGTGTGTGTGTGTGTGTGTGTGTGGTCTACATCAGAACAGAAAATAAACCATGAAATTTCCTCTTCCTCACACAAAGAGAAAGAAGAGGCAGTGAGCTCTCACAAGGTTAGGCTAATGCTCACAGACTCTCTCTCCCCCTATCTCTTTGTCTCTCACCCACACACATTCACACATACAGAACATGCACATGCACCACCTCAGCGTAGAATTAATCTTCTTCAGTAGCTCAAACATAATGCCTATTCTTCAGGCTGTCCTTATTTTCACCAGAGAAACCCACACATTGTATTGTATATATATATATTTTTGGATTATATTTTAGATAATGTGATTATTTTATTATTTATTTTATAGTTTTTTATTTTACATATTTATGACAAGAAATAATAAAATATTATACTTCAGGGAGATGTGAACATTATTTCCTATCCTATTAAGAAGCTTTAGTTTTGATATTTACCCCTCCTTTGAAAATCTTGACACTAATATGGTTCTAAACCATACACTACAAACACACATATACTGAGATTAATACTGGAGACTGTGCCTAAACCTCCTGACTTACATCTGACTCCTCTGGTCCATTTACAGATGGATCAGTAGTTTCTCTGGCATTTAGGACTGATGCTTGCATTACAAGCCTAAAGTCTTTTTCACTCTCCAAACCCAAACTATTTCCTTTTTTTCATTCTTAAACCTCAACTTCTCAACACAGACCCCATCAGGGCCCCTTACTGTGCCTAAATCCCCCAAAGCCCTCAAAGTAAAGACTGTAGCTTTCTGCCTCTTTAACCCTGAGCCTCTGGCAGATACATCTGTGTGGATACAACTGCTAACCAACAAGAAACCCCACAGCTTTAATGCCTTTTTTATGTTTTTACTGTAAATAGCCACTTAATATCCTCTGTCCTATAACCCTTGGGTCAAGAAAACACACATTGAAAACACATTGAAAGCTATGCATAGATCCATGGTAAAGTTTCAAAGCTTGTATCAGTTGCAGAGAGGATTTTTTTTAGACAGCAGATTCAGCTTCTTAAATTTTGTTCAAAGCTGCTTTTTTTAGGGAGCAACCTGCATCACATGTCTCACTGTGTCACATCTGGGAGCTGCCCACTAGTCCCCCACTCTGTTGGACAGTTGGCAACAGAGCTGCTACTATAGCTACAGGGGATGAGCACTTTGTGCGATGGCACTGCAGAGGTTCAAGGAGGACGGACAGTTACTTATTCTCCTTCTGAGCCAGCTCCTAGCCATAAGCCTTTCCTCTTTACCGATTTTATAAACAGTATGTAAATGATGCTGCCTTCTTTAAGACTTTACACTTCACTGTCAGTTCCCTCTTATACAAGTGTGAGAGGGAAGAGCATTTTGAGAATACAGGGTAGTGGAGCTGATATACTGGGATTTGGCTTTTCACTATGCATTTATTCATTAAGGCATTAGTGAGCCTCTGAGTGGCTTGGTGAATGATTGATTTAATGTAGCTGCAGCTGTAATAGTCTTCATCCCTATACATATACTATAGTGTATATATATGAGTGTGTGTGTGTGTGTGTAGGTGTGTGTAGGTGCGTGTGTGTGTGTGTGTCTTTTGAGACTGATTTTCATGCTCTACATGAGTAATTGTGTTAATCCTTCACTCTGCTTGTACTGTATATTCAGAGTGAGGAATTGTACAAGTGTGCGTGTGTGTACTTCCAGTATGTGTTACTTTTTATCCTTAACTGTACAGTAATATATTCACACATAAGATTAGTCAATATGTGATTGGTATTTTACTATTGTTTTAGTAGTTCTTAGGCTAGACTTCTTCAGCTGTAGTAATGTAGTTGTGTGAGACCCTCACTCAGTTTTCAAGGTTTATGAATCTTTAATGAGTTCAGGAATGAATGTATGAATGGCCCATGAATGAGTGTTACTGACTATAAAAGCCAGTGAGACCCATTTAGAATCCATTGTATATTTTCAATACTGCATTTGATTATTCAATTTAAACAATACGTTCTTAGGAACTTACTGTAACTTCTCAAGGATTTTATAGCTGCCGTTGTTAATAACCTAGAGATAGTATTACACTCTCTGTCATAAAAAGAACAAGGAGAAAAAGTCTACTTCGTTATGTTGCACCAAGGCTCTCAATGCTAAAACAGGAGAGGTGAATTTCTAACAATTTTTGTTCTCTCTTATTGTTTCCCTTCGTAAGTGACAGCGACAAAACTGGTAGACAGGAGGCCAAATCCAAACTGACACTGACATTACTTCACACACACAAAGTGATGGATCACTGATTGATGATGGGCTTTAGGGTTAGGCGTTTCAGTTTTGTTTTCCCTTTTTCTCGCCCTCTGTTCATACCTGCCCTTTCCAATCTGACCCCGTCTCTTCTATCTTCTTCCCTTTACCTTGCCCCCCCCCTCTGTTCATACCTGCCATACACCACCTGCCTAGCCCCTCCTTAATCCCGCCTCCCCTCTCCTCTGCCCTGTCCTGTCTCACTTCATGCCTGGCTAGTTGCTGTAATTCCAGTCTTGCCTAGTGTGATCAGAGGACAGTGGAGAAACACATGTACCGCTAGCAGATATCTGACAACACAACACTTAACAGGCCAAGCACTCTATCATTGGTCATTACTGACAGCTCAATTAAGGAAAAAAAATCAGGAGCAGGCGGCGATGTGATTTGAGCGTTTTGGTTTGGTTCGAAATCAGGAGACAGAGACACCATAAACATATCAAGCTATTTATGCCAAACACTCTTACATGTACAATTGAGTATTTGGTCAACTGAAAGGACCATTTACTGCTTGTTCTTGTTTTTATTGCAAAGTTTTCCGATGCTTTGCACCTCTCTTATTAACTCGGACTCTTGAAAACACAAGAGGAGTGAAAGGAGAAAGTGTAAAAGGACAGAGGGAGTTAAGAGGATTAATGACTGTAGTGATTGTCCATTTAATTATGAAAAGGTCAGCTGGAGATGAGTAGACGAGCTATATGAAGTATTAATGCAAATCATGATGGACAGTATGCAAAAATTGGCATTAAACAGGAATAACCTACCTGTGTGGGGTTATGATCAGAGGACTGTGCTCTTCGATTTTCTTTCCCAATGTGAGTATATAGTCGACTGTCGCTTATGTACAGCATGTGTGAAGTCTTAAGCAGTTTAGATCAGTTAAAGCAATGGAGAACACACTGCAGATCAGTTTAACCTGTTAAAAATGGCTATACCTTGTACTTCTTGACTCTGAATAACAATTACGACGGATTGAGAACAATGCTTATCCTTGCTGATGCACTCAATGTTTTTATTTTACAAAACCTTAAGTATTTTAAGGGGCTTGAAGCACAATGATACATTAGGAATCATTAAATTCACTGACAAGTATGCATTGAAACCACCTTGGTTGCTCTGTTATGGGCGGCTCTTCAAACCTTTTAAAGCTGTCTGGACAGATTTGATTGACTGATTAAGTCCATTAGGAGATGACCTGCACACTGTCAAAAGTTCATCTAATTTTTTGACAAACTGGATTGTGACATTTCCATATTAGTTTCTCTCAGCTTAAATCTGGTTTCAGTAGCTTTTAGGTCACTTATTGTCATGTAATAATTATGGGCTCAAAAATTTATATTTAATTAATTTCAGTTGAATAATAAAGAATACCTGTTTTTTAATTAGCAGGTACATTAAAAATGTAGCGAAGGTCTCAAGTATTCATGTCCATGCCACGTCCATGTGGAGAATAGGATTATTTTACATTGTTACTGAAGACCACACTAGTGGTTTTGTATTTCCATGTTCCCAAGTATGGAAGCCTATTACAGGCATGTATTCAACATTTTTTTAATGCCGTTATCTCAAGAATTTAATTATTTAGTTATCTCAGTATAACAAAGCTCATTTTCTCGTTTGGTCCAGCTGATCTGGAAGATGCCGTGGGCAGTGATTGTCTCAAGGTCCACTCCATGTAATCCAATGCAATCCAATCTTTGCACTCCCTCGTCAATGAATGTATTTCTGTCGTAGGTTGCTGGGGCTGTCGGGGCTGAGCCCCATAGAGCCCCAGCTCATTGTGTGACTATGTACAGGTGAGGAAGTAATGAAGTACTGTACTTAAGTAGTTTTTTCAGGTATCTGTACTTGAGTATTTATTTTTCTAACAACTTTTTACTTTCCCCCCCTACATTTTTACACAAATATCTGACTACTCCTCACATTTTCAAAACGGACTAGTTTCAACTACTTATAACTGCTTTCAGGGAATTACAAATTGTGATCATATTTTTGTATTTTTTTGCATCATTGCACACCTTCCCAACATCAAGACCGGTGTATATCACGGATGACAGACAAAACATGATGAAAACAACATAAAGACGTAACAAGATGAAACAGGCGAGAGGGAGACTCAGCTGTCTATTTAAAGGTTCAGTTAGCTTTGCAGAGTATCAGCCTGTTTTGGGCCTTTTGTTATCCCAAGATAAGAAAATAATTAACTTGTGATCTTCAGGTACCAGCATTAAAAAACACTTTGAATCTATGACTGTTTAGGGCTTCCTTATCCTGTACTGTTAATTTAATTTTCAAGTTTTACCTTTAAGGCAACCATTGGTTCATTCAACATTCATTTCGCTACAACATCAAAATAATCTTGCAGAATGTTTTTCTCAGGGTTATAATTCAGTCAGAGACACTGCGTCAGAAAACAGTGTCAACATAATATTCAGCAAAATAACAGTGATAAGTGTCAGGTTTTAATGTCCATGCTATGCATCTGAATGAGTATGATTGGGCATTAATTTAACAGATGGCATAAATGTAAAGTATAAATGGGCATATACAGGTTGAAACGTGTCAAAAATACAGGTATGATTGTTTAATCGAATGGTTTATTTTTGTCTTCTGTCAGGTCGGGCCATCAAACATGTGAAGGAGTCTATTTTTACCGCAGAGGCCGGAGCTAGAAGGGGTGTTCCTAAGGTCCTGGTTGTTCTCACTGATGGACGTTCGCAAGATGATGTCAACAAAGTTTCCAAGGAAATGCAGATGGATGGTGGGCATTTTATAGACCAAAAAAATATTAAATCTTTGGTACTTAATTAAAGTTCTGATCCATTGACATTGATAAAGTAAGTGTTGTGTAATGGTACAGTACAGGACAGATCCCCGTTCCCCCTTTCAATTCTTGGATACTTTATGTACTGTGTGTCACATTTTACTGTCACAGGATATCAGTCTCTTCAGCCATTGGTTTGAAACCCATAACTCCAACAATGTATTACATTACTCCACCTAATCCTTTCCATTGACTTTAAAACTTGTCATGAATTCTCGTGTTAAATTCTATTTTCAGGCTATATCATCTTTGCCATTGGCTTTGCTGACGCAGACTACGGGGAGCTGGTGAATATTGCCAGTAAGCCCAGCGACAGACACGTCTTCTTTGTGGATGATTTGGATGCTGTGAAGAAAATAGAAGAACAGCTCATTACTTTTGTGTGTGAGGCTGCCACTGCCAGTGAGTAACACTACCTTATGTTTAAAACAGAGACAGGATAAGAGACCAGGAGGGAAAAGAGTTTAGAAAAGTCAGCGAGAATGGACAGAAAGAAGATAGAGAAAGGACTGCTGTTGGTGGAGAGACAGAGTATGACTGAAGAAAAAAGGGAAAGAGAGAGGGATTTATTTGAAGGCTGAGAATTTAAAATATTAAAGATGAACTAACAAACTCTTTTGCCTCTTTCAGCTTGTCCATCTGTTTTGATGAGTGGTAACACAATGGCAGGTAAGAGGTGCAAATGACATAACATAGTACAACAGATCCAACTACTGTATCAATCCTGGGTAGAAAGCTAATGAGGATGAAGCCAAAGGTCGCTGATCGTGATGAAGATGAAGGTAATGATGATTTGTCCCTTGCAGGTTTCCGTATGATGGAGAAGTTTGGCCTTATAGAGAAGGAGTACAGCACCATACCTGGAGTTTCTCTGGAGCCGGGTTCATTCAACAGCTTCCCCTGTTACAGATTACACCGTGACGCCCTGGTGTCACAGCCCACCAAGTGAGTAAGGACAAGGGGGGAGACATCTTTTAAAATGACTTCTGTTTACAAACACTTTTAGACCATTTTTAAAAAAAATTCTGTTTCACTTGGCAAGCAAAGAAATTGTGCATCATAGCTGTGATCTGATAATGAGTTGGATTTGCCCAGATTACTGTGATTAAACCTCCTACTCTTCTCTTCATAGTCACTTATGTTGTGTTCTGTTACAGCCAAACACACTATTTAGCTGTTCTCATTGATGTATTTTTCTCTCTGCTGTTGTCAGAAAACAACACATAAATACTGCTGTTAACCAAGGCTAGCAGTAATCCATGCCTGACAACATATTCATGGGAAAACATGGGATGGGCTATATTGTTATACAGAATAAACAGCAGACAGTGACAGTAGACAGAGTTGGAGGCAACAGTTTGTTCAGTCACAGTTTTATTTGTCCAAGTATCATTTAGATCAAGATCTCTTTCACAGGAGATACCTGAGAACAAATGGTGCTTATAATAATGATTCAGTGTCACAAAAGAATCATCATGACACACAAACGTGTTAATTAATAAATCACAAATTTTAAAAATATCTGCATGTGAAGTTCCTCTTTAAGTTTTTTACTAAATACAGTACGTGCTGTTGAATCCAGCTCACTAATATTTAGGTTTGTTCTGTGTCTCGTAGAGTTATTTTGATCCCACACTGTTGCTATCTATGTTTGCTTTGTTTAAGTGACTCTTCCTTCTTCTTCTGAACATGGGGAGTGATGACTTACAGTGGTCAGCGGGACACAAACACCAGAGGACTTTGAATTATCAGCCAACAGCACACACAGGGTCCTAGAACTATTCAACAGCCCTGCCAATGAAAATGACATGACTTTCAGACTAATAGCAAACCACTGGGGAACTAACATGAAAGCTAACATGTCAAACATTTCCCTTCATCTTTGTTTGGATTATCTTTTAGGACACTAGGGTTCAAGTCCCACTCTCAACACCTGGGCTGTGTTACACTTGCTATCTCACAATCAGTATTGCCCCCAATGTTAACAACCACAAATGGGGTTCTTGAAGATGAAAGAATTTGAGCCTGTCACTGTCGCTGTTAAAATAAAATTGACTGCAAGACAGATGACACCCATTTATCTGATGAATTAACGTAAATACTTGAACATCTTTGCAGAAAGTCTCTCATCTTTCTCAAAACTTACCTAAAACCTGCAATAAAATGAAATGTACTGGAAGCCCTGAGCAGAAGCAGATTATTGCAGTAATATATTACACATGTATTTTCCACTAATCGCTGCAATTTCTTCTGCTAATTAACACAAAAGGCAAAATGACAATCTCACATTTTCTCTTTTAGGGCTTCACAGCTAAATTATAGACTGCTTTTAAAAAATAAAAATAATCACAACCTGTAAGAAATAATTGTCACAGCATTTCACAAACAACTGGTTGGCTCTATAGTTTATACAAAAAACAAAACCTATAAATACATACAGTAATTAACATTTACTGTACATATATATTTTATGCCCTGTAGTTTCCTATGGAACAGACTCTCTCTACAAGTTGTCTCTGCTGTAATTTGTATCAATAATTCAACTTGTCCAAGCTAAAAAAGAAACAACCCCAGGAATAAACTCAGGCTGTGACTGATTGTCTGCTCTTCACATGTGGATACACACTGTAGCTTGCACAGGACACTTATAGAAGCTATTATAGCGTCTAGTTTGATTAGACCATGCTCAATCTGTAATTAATGAAGTATCAAAAGATTAAAGGTGTTAAGGTTATGTGTTCAGGTTTCATTAAGAGTTCACCTTGTGCATTTCAAGTGGGTTTCAAATTGCTGGTTTAGACCATGACCACTAGTAATTAACAGGCTTTACAGTATTAAGAGATGCTTGCAGGCACATGTTAGAAGCGTTGAGCTTTACCTAGCACTATACCACAGGGACATATTCAGGTATAAATCTCATGCATACACGTAACAGGAGCATTCAGTGGCTTCAAATGTGCTCCTGTAATGTCTTTCTTGCTGTGATGTTGTCATTTCTAGCTTTTTTCTTGGTTTTTACCGTCAGCCAGTTTTAACTTTAGCTTCCTGTTCTGTGATTGTTCAGTTTGTGAAAAGTGACACTGACGAGTGCTCTGAAAAGTTGAAGCTGAGATAATTTGAACCTGAACTGCTCGAAGGCAGCGGCACAAAAAAAGGCCTAGGCTCTGTGATCAAAAAGAAGCTGGCACTCAAAGACAGTCTCAGGCTGCAGAAAGCACTCTAAAAGCATTCACAAAAGCTGGAAAGAGACAGTGGCACTTTGAAAAAGACACCTAGTGGATACATGCCTTTAGGGCACAGCTAAGCTCACTCACTCTCTGCTTCTGTGTTTGTGTGTGTGCGTGTGTGTGTACCAGGTACCTTCACCCTGAAGGTTTACCCTCTGACTACACAATTTCTATGATGATCCGCCTACTTCCTGAGACCCCGCAGGAGCCCTTTGCATTGTGGGAAATCCTCAATAAGGACAATGAGCCATTGGTGGGACTGATCCTGGACAGTAAGTCTGAACCACTCACATTTTTTTTTTGCTTCTGTATCTTTTCTTTGTCTCCCCTGCATCACAACACATCATTAAGTACAAACTCAAACGGCAGATGTGTGCCGCAGCTCCCGCAGTCCCAGTGTCTCCAAATAAAGCATGAGAGAGCATAATGCAGCAGATTTTAGTGCAGCAGGAAAGAAATCACTAATTACAGCTGGGCTACTGCTATGTTTTTGATGCAATATAATGTGCCTTTAAATGAGTTTAGTTGCAGAGATACCTGAGCTCTTCTGTTTGTGGTATGCCTCCCTTATTTACCCCTCCCCAAACGGGACATGCCATTAGTCTGGGAAAGCACCATGACCTCAGACTTAGAGGTGCTGATCCTCAGATGCTTTGGAGTTTGTAACTGGAGATCAGAATTTGATATAAAGCCAGTTTTTTAAAGCCAGAACAGATGGGATGATGATAAAAATTGTGTCATAAAATTTACCAGGTTTGTATCAAACTGTGATAAACAATGTCACAGAAACACTACACACAATGTAAACTCACCTCAGGTGTCAACCTTTAGAGGTGTTTCAGACACCATTGACTTGGAGGAGACCCAGGGCAGACCCCTGACCTGCCACAGAGATTAAATTACCAGCTGGATGATCTTGGGATCCCCAGGAGTAGCTGGAAGACGTTGCAGGGGAAAGGTCATTTGGTCAGCCATGTCAGAAAAATTCCTAACTTGTTTAGAAGTGTTTTATGGGCTTAAATTTTAAACAAAAGCAAGGAAACATGTTGATCTTTATTGGAGTCTAATCGCAGGAGACAATAGTGTGTACAAGTTTCTACTTGATGTGAACATCAACTCTTTCAGTCCTCCCCTTACCACCAACTCTGTTGCCTCACACAGACTCTGGAAAGACCTTGACGTTCTTCAACAATGACTACAGAGGAGACTTCCAGACCGTCACCTTTGAAGGAAATGAAATCAAAAAAATCTTCCATGGCAGCTTTCACAAGGTTAGTCTTTCATAGATGTGATAACGTCAACAAATCACTTTAGTCATTCATAAAGTATAGTAGTAGTAAAGAATTACATTTACTGGTTATAGTTTTATGTGCATGTTACATATCATTATAACAAGGTAAGAGGTTTCGAGCTGATGGTCAGAAAGAAAAATCTGTGTAATGTGTGCGTGTACAGCAAGTCCATTAGAACTAGAAACACTTCAGCACCAGTTTGAATCACATATCAGGTTCAAACAATCATTATAATTTTTAGGTGGTAGTTTTTCAGATAAATATTCAGAAAAGGCGCACTGAAGCTCTGCAGAGCAGAAGGGGACAGAGAGAGCAAGAAGCTTTTTGCCAAGCTGTTGAGACAAAAATGAGGAAGATTGACTGTATTTTGATGTTTTTGAAGTTGTGGAAGCTGTTGGGTGGTTTTCCAGTGGCTCTTGGGCTGGATTTTTTTTTTCTCTTGACCTGTCAACACTGCTGTGGTGAGTGAGTGTGTGTGCAGGTGATGATAGCCCTCCTCCCTTTTCTGTCTCTCCCTCCCACTCTCCACTGCTTTTTCTACTCCAATTTTATTTTATTTTTTAAACCAATGGAGTGTAGGAGTGGGAGTGAAACTGCAGATTTCATAAACCTTTAAGACCTCTGTGTGGTCTCCCATGATGAAGTTATAGTGGACATACTGTATGTCATTATTTTTAACATTTATAGACTAAACAGTCAAACTAAATCCGTAGATGAATTAATAATCCCAGAGCCATTTTGCCAAATTTATCAATGCCATTTTTATCAGTGCCACATGAATGTAATACGTCCCACGAAGTACATTTAATGTTTAGATAACATAGACCAGGTTTCGATGAGTGCATCTACAAACACACTGTATAAACATCATTATAAAGAAGGAAAATCTATGGTAGTTGTATTAGTTTCCATGATTTTGTTGTTATTACTATTCCCCGGTGTCCACAGACTGGACCACCAGAGAAATTACTTTGTCCTCTCAGCTGATTCTCTGACAAAGATATTTCATATTTCCCTCAATCACCGGGATTCTAGCCAAATGTTTTTATGTAAATTATATTGTATCAAATTAGTCATTATGAAAATGGCCAATTTTGATGACATTCCCTCAATAAAAGACAATCTTCTGCTCACTTGAGACGAGAAAGGGTTTTGTAAAAAATAAATGATGGAATAAATAGTGATGCAAATGCTCTTACTGAATAAATAATGACATTGGTCTGGCCTTGACAGGCCCAGTGAATGACAAGTTCACATTGCAAAACACTTTGGCAAGAGATGTCAACAACATCAGGCGAAACAAAATAATATTAATAACATCTCACCGAACAATAATCAATTATTTTGTCTTTGTGGACATGTTCTTTGAATAAACCTCAGTGTTCAGGGGGTGTATTTACTTCAACAGAGCTGATGGAAATGGACATTTGCATGTATTGTTTTGTTACATTTTAAAAGAGCAAGTCTTTATAGACAATACTGTTTTTTGCCGTATAGATGCTGTTGTGTACTTTCTTTCCTGGGTCTCTCTGTGGATTTGTGCTGAAAACAAACCAACAGCAGCCCACCAACTCTCTGTCTGTCTTTCTTTATCTCAATTCTCAAAATGTCAGGGAGTAGCTGTCCATCATTCTCTGTGCCTTTTGTCTTCTCCATTGTTTTCTGTCTTTCTATTGGAGAACATGACAATGTTGAGAGAGGGAACAGATGCAGGAGACTGCCTGGCAAGGGGAAGTGTTCGTCTCCATTTAGACAGGATGACAAGTGAATAAGCGGAGTGTCCGTGTGCGTGTGCATGTTTGTGTGTCCGTTATGAAGGGATTACCATATGAAGACACCTTATGTGAAAGCAGGAATACCCAGCAGGATCTGTCACTGGTCAGTGAAGCACACACACACAGGCTGAGAGAAAACACAGAAAACAGAGACAAGTGAAGGAGGGGGAAAGCAGAACAGAGAGAGAAATAAATATAACAGTGAGCTTGAGACAAAGAGAAAAACAGGCAGAAAATATAGAGATATAGAGACAAACAGAGAGACATATAGACGTAGAAAAAAGAAGTTACCTGCAGTATAACTCACATATTGCTCAGAGCCATATTATACTCCAGGAGTGTATGAACATTTTTCTGTAACTCCCAAAATGATTAAATGCCTCACATTAAAAATATTAGAGAGCACTTAAAGCTGTGCTTGTGTGCTGTAAAAATGTACACTCAGGAAATCATTTGCACCAGTGCTTTTGAAGTTTTCTAACTTGCAGTAATCCACAATATTTCACAGAGTGACATTCAAAATGTACTGTTAATTCATTCGTTCATAAATTATTATTAAAAAGCTGTTTCCATGAATGTTGGTAGCTTCTTGGAAAGAAGAAGAAATTATAATGAGGAAACAAAAGCAGTAACTAGAAATAAATGCATCATGTCTGTTGGAAGGACACATTTAGGATGACTGCAGCTGTGTTTGTTTGTGAAAGACGTTGTTACAGTACATGGCTGACAAAGTAATGTGGTGCTTGAAACTACTTTTCAACAACTTGATGATTAATCCAGATAGGTTACTACTTTATTTGCATAGTCCACCTACAGATAGTTTAGTATTTGTAACAGGTTGTTATAATAGATGTTTAACAGATTATCTATAGCGTATATGTGACAATTCATGAACGTACCCTAACCAAGATGTTTTTGTGCCTAAACATAACCAAACCTTAACCACTGTGGTGTAATGTCACAAAACGGTTGTCAAATCTCAACTAATAAGCTGTTGAAATGTTACAAATACTCTATAAACTCTGTGTAGGTGGACTATCCAAATAGTGTTACCCCATATGGAAGCAAAAATGCAAACACTGCAAATGTGTGTTAACTTTAAAGTTGTTTAGATTTTGTCTCCAGACATTTTTGTTATGATGATGAGTAAGAAAGGGCGATTAGCTTTTCCAGTTTGTCTGGATGGGGCTTCAGGAGACTGATGAGGTGGCACGAATTAGACAGAGGCAAAAATAAATACTGTACATGAGCTAAATTAACTTTTTTTTTCTAAGTGACATTTTTAAGGTAGTTTATGAATAGCAAGACATTTGAGTAAAACCAAGTGTATTTTTACCTTCATCTGAAAGTACAGCATTAGTGCCACACAGACTAGCATGTTTAAATAAAGACTTATCAAAATTGTATGTTCTTTATTTACTACTACTACTGGAACAACTCTCTCTCAAAGCAAAATTTCAGAGAATTGAGAGTAACTTGAAGCAACATCTGAATTATTTTAGTTGCTACTGTATTGGATTATAACAGACTACATTTGTACATACAAGACCACAAATTGAATAATAAGTGCAAATTAGACCTGAAATAATTGCCTGTTTCTCAAAAAGAGTTTCTTTGTATCACAGACAAAAGTCACATTATGAGTAGCCTGTCAACACTGCAGTTGTTTCGTGTTTAAAAAAGAAGAAGCATATTAATCATTATAATTGTTTCCACAGATATCGGGGCAAAGATATAGAGCTAACTTCATTTCTGCTGTTACTGTTGTTTAAAAAATCTATACGTGAAAGTGGCTGACAAATGTCTCCAGCTCTAATATAACATTTGTTGTTGTTTTTTGTCCCCGCATAACAAAACATCTGTGCCAAAGAAGTGGTCATCCAACGGGAAGTAGCTAACTTTGTTCAAAAGTTAAAAGTGCAGTTTGTGGATTAACTTGTTTTAATCCATAGTGAAAGCAGCATTTTAGGCTTGATTGAAAATATTGCTGACTAGAGAGAACAGGAAATGAGAAAACACATATTGTGCACACACAGGTAAAGAGAAACATACATACATACATACATACATACATACATACATGTAAAAGCGCAAACATACAGTATGTGTACATGATAAAAAAAAACATACAAGCTTTACAAGCAGCCATTCACATACAGAAGCCCACTGTATGCACTCACACACTCAATTCAGGCATGCATAAGCGAGCATGCACATTTTTAAGTGCAGGTCAGAGACAGCTGAGTCAGCAGACCTCCTGATAGCCTCATATTCCTCAGTCCACATTATCTTACACTGCATGTTTAAAAGCTGCCATAACAATTTGAGTGTGTGTTTGTCTGAGCTCCACTTTTCCAGTTGCACCATTGTATCAGAGATAAATTTCATTTTGTGTTTAGTTACCAAGAGGTGAAATAAAGTGATGCTACCTCTCTTCTTCCATTTCTTAATGTTTCTTCAGTTTCTCTAATATAAAGTTTGAAACAGCTGTTTTCATTTTCTTATAATAGTAAGTAATTCGGTGTTGAATGATAACGACACCCAGAGAATAACACTATTAAAGAAAGTCAAAATCTGTCTAGAGCAGTTTTCTCTTCCTGTTGATTTTTCCTTGTTTTAACAGTTATATTCAGTAAAGATAATGTTAAGTTGATACCTCAGTCTTTTGGGGTTTTGCTATCAAAGTACAACATAGTTGTTATTCAATTTGCTAAATTACTGCAAAGTCACATGTGCAACATGACAAAAGATAACGTAGGACCGTCAGTGGTTCAGAAAATAAAAAGTAATTTGTCCTTTGTTTGAAAAAATGATAAGGAAAAAAAATTCTGATAAAGACAAAAAGAAAACCGTCGTCTGACAAAGAGACACAAAGAACAAATGAGGTGCCCTGTATTAAAGAAAGATACTGCTGATGTGTTAGACAGGAGTAGTATTAGAAAGTACAAGACAGTGTATGTGTGAGAGGTTAATTCATCTTGTGCTGGCAGGAGTGTTAGCTGCGGATGGATCCTGTAGTTTCCAGCCGTCTGACCTGCCAGCATTAGCACAGAGTGAAAAAAAATGTGTTTTTCTTTGTTGTGAATGCTGGCCTATAAAACTGATCCCAAATGTCAGTTGTGAGGTTTGTCTCCTGTCGGACTCTGGGTCTTCTAATGAGTCTCAGATGAACAAGAAAATCAAACAAAAAAAATTGTTTGTAATGTTTAAATTAGCTTTAAAGTTATCTGTTCATGTCAGAAGCCCATTCCAATTTTTTGATAGTAGTCCTCAGATACTGTCACAATGTGATCATGAGTAACATGACCAGCATAAATAAGTGTACAAAGTTGAATTTTAGCTGAAAAACAAATGTATGTAAGGTTCTAGGTAAAGCTTAAGAACACTGGTCCTTCATTGATTTTAATGTGGTACAGACTTTACAGTGGAGTTAAGTTATAACAACAATAAAATCCCACCGTGTTCACGTTGAGATTTTAAGTCTCTACAAGTACATTTTTATATTGCACATTAAAAAAGGAAAGGAAACACACATTCCCATGTCTGAAATGCATTATCCACAATCTGTAAATGTCCGTAAGTAGAAATATGGTAGAGAAATGTGTATCATATGCATGTCAGCTTTTACTGTAAAGAATATTTTAAGTCATTAGAGTATTAGGCATAGTATGCTAAACTGGCAGAATAAAAAGCAAAAAGCAGTTGCTTAAAAAATAAATTTTTCTGATGCCTGCTACTGTTGGCTGCGTTTTTTATTTCATATAGCTCAAGTGTGAGAAAAGAATGTTTCAAATAGTACATTTTCAAGAATAAACTTCCTCCAAACTGAAAATAAGTCTGAGTATTGCTGGAGTAAATATAGGAACCAGCTAGCCTGAGGAGAGACACACACACACACACATATACATTTACATACCGTAGACATTTCCCTATTGCCCTATACACATTCCTAACACAGTAATGTTAACCTTAACTGAAACCACTAAATGCCACAAAATACCGGCAAAATGTCTGCGCCTTAGAGGATTTTCATCATATATCACGAAAGTGCAACACATACACACACACACACACACACACACACACCATGCCCAGTGAAGTGTGCAGATGGAAGGATGAGAACAGAAAGTCATTATAAAGCAGCCGTCCAGACGTCAGCCAAGGAATGAGCTCTGACACTCGAATATGAACTTTGTCTAACTTCACATTAGCTGCACGTTGTTACTGGGTGTGTGTGTGTGTGTGTGTGTTGTCTTGTTCCTATGACTTGCAGTGTATTTTTGTTGAAGGTGTGATAGAGTGATATAAAACCTCTCATAATTGTGAAACATGGAGGTGCTAATAGTCTAATTTATTACTATCTTTCGGCAGGATGCAGCCCTCTGTGCTCATTAACCATGCCACCAGGTGAATTTCACAGTTCATGGCACTGGCAGTGGTTTCCTCTAAGGAGGCAGTTTGAGCTCAGGCTCTACCTGAACGGGCCAATTTATGTGCTTAGATGCTTTGGGCCTGCGTTTATAAAAGCCCCACATAGGCAAAGGAACTTATTGTCATCGTAACAATAAGCAACAACAATAGACACATCTTTACTAGTCAGTAAAGATGTGTCTATTGTTGTTGCTGCACATACACACAAGAGGTAGTCAAACATTTTCTATTCTAGCTGATTAGAGATGCAAGACCTGTGAAAATGCTGCACTTAAAATTATGTTACAACTCTGTTTTATTGAGTCTATCCTCTCAGTTGTTTGTGTTTATGTCTGGTTATATATTTACGACAATGATGATGGGTAATACAGACTAATCTGGGACTATTACTAGGACTTCTACTATAGACTATTGAGACAAAATACTTACTAAAATAATGCGGCCCATCTGTATTTTTTTAAACTGTTGTTTTATTGCAATCACAAGGTATTTGAAGGTATATTTTTAGATCCTTTCTGCTGTAGTTTTTCTTACCTTATCCTCTTTCTGCCACACAGCTCCATGTAACCATCAGCAAGACGTCAGTGAAGGTGGTGTTAGATTGTTCTGTGGTTGGGGAGAAGTCCATCAATGCTGCTGGGAACATTACCACCGATGGAGTGGAGATCCTCGGGAGGATGGTTCGGTCCAGAGGCAGACGGGACAGCTCTGCTCCAGTCAGTATGAATTCTTGTCTGCATCTTTGTTTAGTGCTTTCTGAATAGAGGTTGACTGCATACCGCTATGTTCAAGGTACCTACAGGTATTTGAAATGCGATCTGTTCTTTAGACAGGAAGTAGAAGAAGCTTATCAGGGCTGTAGATAATGGGAGGGTTGTCAAAATCTTCAAGTTAGTGTAAAATGCCAGAATTTATTTCACAATCTGTTTGACATAGTTATGGAAAATAACACTCGCTAGACAGCTGCAGGTCTAGCTGTATGTTGTAAACGATAGTTAAAGAAATAATAAATTAAATTCTACTTTAATCAAGTGATAATCATCTAGCTGTTATAATTGTCACTTGTGCATTGATTGCAGTGATCAATCAGCAAAGTGTTGTTGTGAACCATTATGGCCTATAAAATTGCAACCATTAATATCCAAAACCATTTCAGTGAGTCACTCAGTTGGAGTTCATTTTATTTATTGCAAGTGTATGTACAAAGTGCTTTACATATACTTTGTTAGCTGTGCTTCACACACAGGCACTCAAAAAGGCAAGAGAAGGTGAGACATCCAGGGCTTCTGGGAATAATAAGCGCCGCAGTTAGTAAATTTATACTTCTTAGCTGCTCCAAGGAAAATTATCAGCTGGAAAATGCTGCATTAAGAGGTTTTTATAAAGAAAAATATAGAAAATGTGAAATATTTTCCAATTACCACCAGACTGTTTTTTAGTGGCCAGTAAAGAGGAGGGTTGTTGATTCAACAGTATGTGGTGTCTGTCGAGTTTGGAAAGGTCTTAGATCTGTTAGGAAACCATAATGGTAGCTTTACCTGGCTTCTAACGTGAAGAATACAAATCAGTCATTTTATTCTATTTTGCTATGTGCACTCTCGGTTGGCCCGAAGTGAAGTCTTAAGTTGAAGAACTACTTTGTTTCAGGCTCCGCAGTGAGCGACATTTCTTATTATCTACGGACTCTGAAATTGGGAGTGTTTTGCCCATTCATAATGACAGCTGAGCCTGTGGATTTTCAGGTGATGAGTTGATTTAGGGGATTAGAAGAAGATATACTTTATTACGATATTACTATGATTACGAAAGTGACTGTACATCAGCATGAATAAATTAAATCATATAATGACAGTCGTGACATTTTTCTCAAGGTTTCAATCAGCCTGGCCAGCATTTCTGTGAATCTGGGTCAAAACCCACAGTAAGTGCGTATCTTTTGGGTCTCAAAGTTAGTTCCAGTTTAACTGAGATTGCCCGGTTCTTTTAAGTCTAAGACCCCCTGTGGTGCTGTAATAGAAGGACTATAATTACTAGGATAAGGCCATTTCACACAGGCTGCAGGGCAGGCCTTTACTCCGTAATAATTAATAAATGGGATTTGAGTCTAATGTTATTGTCATACATTTCCCTAAAAAAATTGCCTATTTATGGCATTTTAGATATGAGATTGGGGGCGAATGTACTAAATGACCCTCTGTACTTGAAATAATACATTGGCAAGATTAGGTTACAGTGAAACCTGACCAAACCAGGAACAATGTTTCCATATAGGAGACGTCTCTTAAAGTAAAGTAATGAACATTATGATTGTGTAACTGAAACAGAAGCAGAGAGAAAAACTGTTATCGCCCAGTTTTCCACTAGTCGACAGAATCTCATCCAAGTCTGCAACCATGTGTTCGTGTCTATGTGTATTTAACTTCCTAGATAAAACTGATTCACAGTCATGAAGCCAATTAATGTGAAGCTGTGTCTGTCATATGTATACATCTATTAAGTTTGATACAGAGCTTTGTTGAAGGTTAGGGTATACATGTCTGGTTTCTGGATCCTTAGAAATGTAGATATTAGAAACTGCCCTTCTAATGAAATAAACAGTACATGTCAGCGGGTAGTTTCTTCAGTCATGATGATAAACTTTAGAAATGAATCAAACACAAGCCCATGACCTAATTTATAGCCTGGTCTATAGTTTAAGACTAGTGGAGCCTCCAGAATGTCCATTTTGTTTGTTGAAGCTATCAAGCAGACTTCATGTCTCCCAGCACTTTTCAGCTGGTCATTAGAGCTCATAAGCAGCCAAACTGTCTGTTTCTTGTTTCTTATCGACACAGAAGCACCACAGAACCACATCACTGCAAAACACCATGGATAATTTTCCAGTTGAAATGCCACCTCTGTTTTATTTCTGCATTTTGAAATGTGTTAACTGATAATATTGTAATTGAGTATTAATGGAACTGGTTTTGTCTGTAAGTGTACTCATGCATGTATGTATGTGTTTGCAGTTCCAGCTCCAGATGTTTGACATCATCTGCAGCACATCCTGGGCCAGCAGAGATAAGTGTTGCGAGCTGCCAGCATTGGTAAGAAACTACACATGTGTATATACTCTGAAACACACATGCTCACACACATTAATACATGATTTTCTTCCTCTCATCCCCTCTCCTCTCCTCTCCTCTCCTCTCTGACTGTGCAGTCTCACTGTTACAGCCTTAGAAAATTAAGGTGATAATTGTGGTTACGATCAAATTGAGTTATGATGAAACCAGAATGATAAAACCAGAATTAAAGCCAAATTACTTGGAATCTGTATGAATGGCTATTAGCACTGGCAAAGAAATGCCACTGCTAATAGTGCCTGTGGTCGGGTGGGTCATTTCAATTATGTGATAGAAATGCATCTAACGAGCACCTCGAGAATAAACAATGTTGTCTTTCTCACACATATACAAGTCCAGTCAGAGTGTGCCTGTATAAGAGCACCAATTATCAATTAACACTCCAGGCATAAAACAAACCCACACAACAAACAGATACAACGAAGTACCTCCACCTCTGCAATCTGCTTTTGTTGACAGAAAGGTCAGAAAAGTTTTTATTCAACACAAACATGAGGTGGAGAGTATATTAGAAAAAAACCCTGTTTTGATAAAATGGTTTATCAGTAGTCAAGGGGACCAAGCAAACAACGATTGTTTTGTACCACAAGTTTAATATCTCGAGCAGCTCCAACAGTTGGGAGTCAAATACCTGATCCAAGGACCAGAGATGAGTTGCTAAGTGATGATGAATATTTTACCATCGTTATCTTGTTTGCTGGCAAGCTCCTGGTGTACCTAGGTGAAGTTTTAAATGATGCTGCTCATGTCTTGCCTGAGTACAGAGCAAGTGCACTGTACACTTGATGTATTTATGTGTGTTTTCAGAGAGTCGAGGAGCAGTGTCCTTCTATGCCTCATGCCTGTACCTGCTCCCAGGACAGCAAAGGACCTCCAGGACCTTCCGGACCCCCTGTAAGAGCTCATTCAATCTTTCATTAGATTACTTATTCAGACTCCTGTGCTCAATCCAGTATGATGACTGTCTTTTCTATTAATCTATTCTGCCTGTGTGGAACTCTTTATAGATGTCTCCTTCCTTCTCTGCATTTGTTTTTCCAATGGCTTGTCTTTTTGTATATCGTTATATATGGTATTTATACTCCTCTTTCCCCTTCTCTCTTATACCATTCACTCATTCACTTTGACTGTCTAGACCCTGATTACAAAGGTTTGTGTTTATCCCAGAAAAAAAGTGTCAAGAGAGAACACTGCTGGTAAATCTTAGAGTCAAACAGCCTCTCTGACAGCTAAGTAAAAAGTTAATTTCCTGTTGTGGAATTTAGTGTTAAGGAAAGAACTCGATGCAATCCAGCTCAGTTTAATTGTGAAATTCTTCCCTGAAGGGGCAAATTGAAGTAAGCTGGTCTGCAAAAAAACAACAACATAAAAACAATGTATTTACGCACATAAATACAATCTAAAAATACAAAATACGTTAGTCTGAGGTTTTTTTTTTAAAGATACAAAAGTGCATTCTGTCCGTACACAATTGATTTATTATACATACACAGTCTCTTTATCAAGTGAAATGTGGAATTACAAATCCTTTGGCGTTTTCATTGGCGTGGCAGTATGTTAGACAGAAACGCTGTATTCCTCTCACGCAGTAGCAAGTAAAACCAGATAGAGGCTGAGAGATGAGAGCGAGTAAATGAGCTCATTTACAGACTTTTGTCTATATTCTCTCTTTTTTATTATTCTTCCTTTCTCTCTCCCACGGTGCATTTTTCAGTCCTTTCTCTCTTCTTTATCCCCCATCCCTGTATCCCTTTTATTTTCTCTAATTTTCTTCTCAGTTCTCTCTCTTTGTCCCCACTCTTGGGTACTGAGGACATGAGAGGGGTGTGGATCAACACCAGTATAGTTTGAGAAAGTAATTATATGGCGATTCCATTCATCACAGCCGATTACAATCCTCGCAATTTTCATCCCTGTCCACTGAGCCAGATCCACTTACTCATCTGTGGGGTTATGTCCACAGGCCACAGCCCTCCATTTTAGTTTTCTACGTCTCTTTGTCTTTGTCTTTGTCCCTCTTGCACAATGAAATGTGCTACTAAACTCTCAAGATAAGATGCTTATTAATTCAAGAATAAAATGTAGTTGATCATTTTTTAGATATATTTTCTCTCGATACTGTGCTTTTACTTCTGTCGCTTCCATCTCTTTTCTCTTTCTCTCTTTTTCACTCTGTTGCTCTCCAAACCACAGATCAATAACAGTACTGTATAGCTTTCAGCCTTTCATTGTCTTTCTCTTTCTTCTTTTCTCTGTTTTCTCTTTTACCTCCACCTCATGCCTGAGGCTCTTCTTCTCTCTCTTCTCTTTCTATTTTTTTATTATCACTTAATTCCTCTCTGTGCCTGCGTCTGTCTCTCTGTCTGTGTCTGTTTCTCTCTCCAGCATCAAATGTGCTTCTTAACTCACATTTTAACTGCAGCATATAGGCCTAGATGAATGGTTTAATGGTGAAATCATAGTCACTTTTGTGCTAAAACTGCCCGCTATAGTCGGGGTTTTGAGGAATGAAGAAAAGGTGATGACATTCCCCTTGTTAACGCAATATAAAGGTTGTTAACACAGTATATGTATTCTATCCCCTGTGGAAGACAAGCTTCCTACAGACAGGAAAACTTTCAAAATCCTAACAGACTGTGAAAACAGAGAGTTTCACTGCCAACAATGGATTGTGTACACAGTTTGTTGTTGTGCTGCTGAGACTTTGCTCTGAGCTCTGAGTGTGAAGAAAGATGAATAAATACCTGGATCTATGGGGATACCTGATGCAGTGTCTAAACATACAGAGAAGTGCCAGGAACTGGAAGGCAAATGAGCTGGAGAACAAATAATTATTAAAAAGGATTATGGAACGTTAGTATTTGCCATCTGATCATAAAGATTATTAAAGCTCAAAACATCTTATCCAGAAAATCTTGATATCAAACAGAATATATGTACTTTTGTCAATAATATATCTACACAGACAAGATAGTATTTCTGCTCTACACTTACATCATTATCCGAAACACAGTTGTGCTTTTCTTCCTGAGAGCAATTTCAGTGTTTGTGTTCACTGTCAGACGTATGTCTTTTCCTGTCTCACTCAGCAGCAGGCCTCTTCAGTTTTGTAAATCTTTGAGTCATGTTTGAAATAATATTGATTGCCCCAACTGAATTGCAATCTGTGCCGCCTGATTTGGCACAGATTCAGCTCAATACCGAACATCAGTCAGCAATCAATCTGACATTAAGGAAAACATGCGCTGCCTGCCATCTCCGTTTGTTAAAATTGAATTGTGCCCATGCTGTTTGAGATCCAAGTGTTGTTTAATAAAAAAAATGTAAATTTGCCTTCGGCATCAAATTGCTCAGTTGATAATAGGGGTGGTGTACTTTTTTCTATCACCATTAAAGGCCCATGAAAAATCCAAACACAATTATTTGTGTTGTTTCTGTCGAAGCTAATTTCAGTTTCTCTGCAGGTTTGCCCGACCTCCAACAAGTCATGGGCTCACATTGTTTGCAAAAATCAACTTGCAGAGACAAAATTGCTCAATTGACAAACATAATCAATCATTGTGTATTACATATGGTTTTTTTTTCCTAACAAGAATTTACATTAGCACAGTCTTCGTTGCCAGAAGGTTCTTCAGTTCTTATTTCAAATTTATTTATTTCAAATTTCAAACCTTATTTCAATTTGCACAACCCAATATGTCCATCAACCACTGTTAAAAGACGCTGATGTGGGATTAAATCCACAGTCCTTCTTCTGTGAAAAAAATGCATTTCAGTTCAGATGAAGCTAATAGAGGCTTTAGCATTCTTAGTTTACGATTACCTACAGACGATATCCACTGATGTCTTATCGTTTATTGTTGGCAACAAACCTTTGTCCATCTATTACTAATTATTCCTTCACAGCAAGAAAACACTGTCCAGGAAAATACAAAGAGGGAATTTTGTACTAAAAAGACGCCCTCGTATTAGCCTCAGTTGAACTTTTGTCCCTTACCTTTTACAGTGGAACAGATCACTTCATGGCCTGTATAGATAGGAGGAGTCATTACAGCAACCAATAACTATTTCAGCATACATATGGGCATGTGAGTTTTATATTAAGAAGCACCCACTCTTCAACAGTGTGCAGTGGTAGAAAATGTGGAAACAGGCCTCATAAGCATCATGTTTAGCTGCTTAATAATTTGATGTAAGCAATAAATACTGATACATGTTCTGTTTGAAGAGATATATGCATATATACCAGTCAGTGCAGCAGATTCTTTTTCAAGCTGTTTAAATAGATGAAACAGTTAATGACTCCTGCGTGGTAAAGCAAACAGATTAGCATAAAACTTGGGTCAAACAGACTTGTCATTAATTTAAACTGAGAAAAAAATAAAATGACATTGGTAACAAGCATATGATGATTCCATTAGGACTAACCTCTTGCTTTTACCACATCTGTATGTCTCCTCTCATATCCCCCTTCTTGCAACCATCCCTCCTATCCCCTCTGGCTAAATACTGTAGGAACTACCTAGTCGCCCCCTCGTTCCCGGGGGAGACCTATTTAAGCAAACACAGGAAGAGGATGTATCCCAAATGGGCCAATGATTAGCAGATGTGTGTAGTTTGTCCCTGGATAAACCTTGGGGCTAGAGGGGTCAGCCTGAGGTTTACAGCTCTAGACTCTGCTGTTACTTACAGATGCAGTGTAATAAAGTGCAGACCTCAGAGGGGCAGTTTACAGCACAAATCAGCGTTGGCCTCAGTCCATCAAATTCATAATCCATTCATATTAAAGAACTGTGCTGTTCCAGTTTTATTAGATTTTTTTTAAAGATGAACTCCAGTCTACTTTGAAAGGGAGTCTGGTGGATACATATTTTTGCAGGGGTGTGTTTCTTTTCCATTACTTTCTTTGTAGGTGCACAATTTGCAAACACTCATTATGTGCTGTTTTTACAGTGTGTGTTTGGTTTGTGTTTCAGGGCGGCCCAGGCATAAGGGGGGCCAGAGGAGACAGAGGAGAGCCAGGAGTGACGGTTTGTAAAATTCACTTAATTTCAAAGACCATTTATTCTTGATCAGAACTGTCAGCACTTAATAAGTCTCAAATAGTATCTATCTTGCATCTTTCATGCGGTTGAGTCACTTGTCCCCATCTGGGGAAGAAGAAGCACCCCAGTAGTTAACAGTAATGAGCTGGTTGGTCTGTATTGAAAAGCAGCCGGGACAGGAAATATTGTGGGCATGGTTGTAACCACAAACTGTGCAAGCTACAATAATTTCCATAATTTTCTGGCTGAATAAAATTAAACTTGAACCCTGAAAAATCCATATTTCTTTGTTAAGAGCTCAATCCCACCCTCCCTATCAAATTGGTGGCACAGTGGAGACCCTCATGATTTCACATTTTAAAGTTCAATCAGATCGAACTCTAAGTGAGGCCAAAGAGGCGGGGTCACTTTGCAACTGGAGGCGAACACACCTCACCCTGTTCCTCCATGAAAATAATGGGGAGCCCGCAAGACTAGGCAAGACTATTATTAATAATACATTTTATACATAATCTGAACAAGCAGGTCCACACCTCTACCTTCAGGGACACAACAGCTCCCATTCTGATCAGAGGATAAAAAGAAATAAGTTAGGCGTGTGAAGCAATGCCCTGACTCACAAACAAAGAGCCTTTTCAACAACAGTCCCCTCCATCCTCCAGACTGAATGTGAAGCACCCTTATGCCGAGTGAAATGACGAGACTTGGCCTCAGACTCAGAGCAGGCTTTTATCGCCACTCTTACTATCCTGTCTTTAATAGATACGGTTCCAACAAATGCTGTCTTGGACTATTAAGGAAAGAGTTATTGTAGAGTTTGCATCTGCTGTAGTTTTGCTATGGCAGTCTGTTCCAAATTGTTACAAACCATCCAGCTGTGGCAGTCAGTACAAGGCCTGACACTGTTGGAAATTTCTCAATACCAATAGCTAGTTCCCACGTTTGTAATTTAATCTTAGAGGCAGGAAAATATGTTTTGAAGCTTTTCTTCTTTGAAAGAAGCAACAGGGGGCCCTGCCACTCCTGCTCAGACACGCAGGGCTGTCAGTCAATAAAGTAAAGTTGATTATCTCAACCATATGTCCCACTTTGACTTTCTTGAGTGACAATGTATTGAGTGCAGTACATAAAGTGGCCCACCCAGAACTTAAAACTTAGCACATCTTGCTATAAATTACCAAGAATAAAAAACAAAGGCAGGCCGTGTGTTATATTTGATGGGCGTAATTGTATTAGTTTTGGAGTAAGATGTGGTTTTCAGCCCTGCTGGCACACACATAAAGTACAGTACACACATATATTAATGCATGCCTGCTACTGCCAGATCACACTTCAGCAGCATTTGTACCTCTGCAGCTGCGGCCAAGTTTATTTGAAGAGTTGGAATATATTGCTGTATTAGACCAGCTCCTCCATGAATTCATCCTTATTCATTCTCACTAATCAATTTGGATACATTACTTGTTACAGTATAAGTAATGATAAATGGGAAAATAAATTGTGCAGTTATTAAAATAAACTTTTAAGTAATTTCAATTTCAGTCTGTAAATTGATTCATCTCTTCAAGTAGTTCAACACCATATTTCTGTGCTTTTGTTTATTTTTATTCGCACTTCATTCATGTATATCTGATCCAAAGTTTCTTTTCATTGTTTGCATGGATAAGCCATGAAGCCAGTAACTGAATGTTTGAACAGTAAAACAATAAATATAGCCAGAGTGAAGATTACTTTGGCTACCACTGCCGCTGAGCCAACAAGATACAAATGCTGTGAATCAGTGGTGGTTTGCAGGAATTCCTCTTTTCTGACTCCCTCTGCAGGAACTCTGTCTGCAGCTTGTACACATGGATCAAATAAGCCTCCACACTGGCACAACTTGATTATAGATGGATGGACAAGTGTCTAAATCTATTTCCTGTAGTAGATCTCATTATGGAAGCAGCCAGTGGCAGCGGAAGTCCCCACCATGCATGTGGTGATGATGCTGACCAGAGTTTGTAGTTTTAACTTGATGAACGTTGTATGTGTAGTGCAGCTTTCGGGGAAATGGGCATTACTTGCAAAGAACAAAGATGACCCATTTAGTCAGTTTATCAGTCAAAAGAAAGTATTTGTTGACTCTGAAGACTCAGTAGCGTCGAAACATTAGTTTGTTCCCACAATTAAAGCCTGTGAATTAATCATTGTGCTCCAATCTTTCTTTGTTCTTTGCAAGTTTGCTGTCTTTGAAATGAAAAAACACCTGATTCAGTTGTATTTACACCATATAGCTAAGATCTGGAATTATACATCTAATATGTTTAGATTTAATATTTTTTAGCCAAAGTTTCAAGTGCTACTTTGGTCCCACATTGCCTTCACAGAAGAACAGAGGGATTAAGGATTTGTCTAGTGATTTCATTGCATTTCTAAAATATGTCATATTAATGAGGTGATGAGGCTCCAGCAGGTCAAAAGACTCCTCACCAAATGATCCATTATGCTGACAAAACCCTCTCATATTACGGCCCATTTAGTAACTGTTGTCATGGGATTGATGTTGTTTACGTTTTTGTGGATTTCTGCTCCATGTTGCTAAAGAAAATGAGTTCAAAAGTGAACTTTGAAATACTGAAATCCATTGTGTTGTTTTCACAGGGGCCTCAGGGGCCAGTGGGAGAGATTGGCCCTCCAGGACCCTCAGGACCACCTGGTCCTCAGGGGCCCAGTGGTCTCTCTATTCAGGGTCCTCCGGTAAGGTTTTTTGTGTGCATACTGAAAGGCGGTATGATGCCATATTTTTTAAGAGTGCAATGCCCCATCTTGTAAGTTTCCATAATTACGTGATAATTTCAAGATTAAAATACTGTGAAAATAATTTAACTGCTGTTTAATGCTTTCTCTCAAAATAAACTACTGTAGCTCTAATGTTTGGGTGGAATGTGTTGAATTCTGAAATGTCTAGAAAAGAAAAGAAGAAGAAGAAGAAAAACATTGTTAGAAATTAAACTAGTACAACAAAAAATATCTATTTTCCCAAGCATCAGTGCTACATTAAATTATGATGGAAACATAAAAAGTGTGCACCTGCCTCTAGTAAGGTCACAAAATGTGTGCAATTAGAAACAGACTTAGCATTAAGCTGACAACCACCTGCTGCTATAAACTGACAAATGTTGACGGATGCTTCAAATAGGCTTCCAGACACTTGAAGGATCTTGTCCAAAGCACGCTGAAGCTGTTCTAGGGACTTACGGGGTGGCCCAGCATCTTATTAAGATAACTAATGTCGGATTTTCCAGTCCTTTGGTAGCAATCGGTATGAGCCCTGGTCCAGCTGAGATGTAATGATGTTGTTTGTTTTACAGGGTGCTCTTGGAGAGAAGGGAGAGAGAGGAGGGGCCGGTCCAGCTGGACAAATGGTAAGAAAATATTTCTCTAAAAAATTGACATAATAAGACACAGAGATGTCTTATAAAGTGTGACGTAGGTGTTTTCCAACAATATCACAAAGGAAGAACCAAAAGGTGCAACTACTTTCCAATCTGCCTGACATGCAGTGGTTTCATTGTTTTTGTCTTAACCAAATAAGCTAATTAACTGTGTGTGTGTGTGTGTGTGTGTGTGTGAGTGACTATGTTTATAAATTGTTCTCCTCTGTGAGTATGTGTGAAGAATACAAATGAGTCCCATATCCATTATCACTGAGGTGCCATAGTCCTTGCAGGCTTACAGAAATTAGACTTGTTGCCCTATAAAGGCATATTTTGTAACTTCAATCAATTATTTGACTCTCTTCTCTAATGACTTATATTACACAATTCACTTATATATATACAAATATATACTGTATATACTTTATTGTAATTTTTTGAGGTGGACAAAATACAAAAATGTATTTAGGCCATATAGCAAGGATTAAAACTCTCTCAGCTAGCTAGGCTTCTGACATGAAAATTTGTTGGTTGACTTGTTTATAAATAATGAATATTTCAGTGCCACAGAATGACAAATTAATTCATATAGTCATTTGTACTATCCTAAATGCAGACAGCAGTATCTACAGACACAGAAAAAAGGTTTGAAAATCTTCAGTATGTCCGACATGCCTCAGTACATTTGTAGACTTTACCTAAAGAAATCATTGCCATACAACCTAGATATAATACCTAAAAAATGCAACAACAAAAAAAACAACCTGAACTATGACTTTAGGTAATCTTCAGGAAAAGCGCAAGGAAAATGCCGTATCTACATACAAAATGTGTACATTCAAACAGAGATTGAGAGGGGGTAAATCCATTCAGTTTCGCCTTTTACTACCAATATTTATTTAAATAAAATGAATATACAAAATATGCAATACATTTAAATGTGTGCTTTAAAGGAAGCTTAACAAACCAAATAACATGAATTGCATCATATTGCAGTTTTAATGATTCAAACAAAAACAGAAATGATTGCTTCGTGTATATATACATCTTTTGTCATTCTTCTATTCTAAAGGTAAAGTTCCAAGACAAAAATATAAATGCATCTTAATCTAAACATTATTAAATGCAGCTAAAATATTATATTACAATATAATGTCTGTGTTAACAGTATTCTTGACAGCTTGGACTGGTTGTAAAGTTTTGTGTGGGGGCTGACACACACGTGTTCTTGGACACAGACATGGAGCTGTCTAATGGAATCACTGAGATGTGAATAATCATTACCAGCATCTCTATTACTGGGCAGTGAACCAATCAGAGGTAATACTGAATTAATTTAATGGTGTTCTACTGGGAGACCTGGACAAGACCAAGGACAGAGTCAGCGTTTAAGGAAGAGTATTAATACATATTTGTAAAAGTATGTCTCTAGACACTACTTGCAAAACACACTTGCAGTTACAAACAGTGGCTTTGTCTGCCTCATACTTGCACACCCTCACATCTGTAAGTTATTCTGCACAATAATTACACGTCTGCTCAGGTTGAAGTTGAATAGCGCTATGCTGGGAATTATGTAACGTCACAAAACTTAACCCACCAATAGAACCTTTTCACTGCAGACATTTTGACTTGTGAAAATGTCAAATGTCAAAATGCCATGAAAAGGGGCTATTTTTGTAAGTTGCCAACTTCACAAGTGCATCAAGAGGGCCAATTAAGCGCAGTCTACACACACACTGCTGAGATCTAATCGGTCTAATTAAGTGAAAACACCTGTGAGGTTGTACCATGGGGTGTGTAGAGCCAGAGTTTTTAATCTGTGTTACTTTACTTCCACTAGACTGGTGAGTTAAATACATCACTGAGGTAACATAATAAAATCAGATTTAGAAATACTTTATTGATCCCCCAGGAGGAAATTGTTTGCTCGAGGTGCTCCATGTGCTCACACATTGTAATAAAGAATATAAATAATAATAATTATATTACAATATCTAACACAATATATATAGAATATAAATATATATAGGTATATAAATCGAAGTAAAATAAAATAAATAAATAAATACATTTATAATATTAAATAAAAAATAAAAATAAAATAAGAGCCTAAGTATGTACCTTATAGTAATAAAATATATACAATATATAACAATATATACAAAGTAACTGTATGCCACAGTATGTGACCAACTTAGATGAAATGAGAAACAGTAGTGAGTTTTTAAAATGTGATGATGTAAAAAGACTACAGCAGGTTCTAGAAAACACACAGCAAAATTTACTTTACTATGAATTGTTAATATCTATTATAGTGATATATGACAGTCTGGACTAATAAGGGACTGATCTGTGAACACTGAGTTGCAATGTCTTTATAAGTCGGTCTAACAAATAGCACTAGTACATGGAATAAACCTTGGCTTACTGTGTTAGATAGTGCTCTCTGCCAGATCATTTTCTTAATTCCTCTCAATCAATTTTACTGTCTTGGCCCATTACCTCATTATCACCACATTTGATCATCAAACTGTCCTCTAGAGCTTAAATCAAGTGTGCAGAATCTGACATTGTGCACATGTTTCCATTAAGCATACTACTTTTTTGTTATTTGTTGTAGATTTATTAAGCTGAACTGTACAAATTGTTTGAAAGTGCCAATATCCCTAAAAGCCCTTTCAGTGCCATCTCAGCCACACACTGAGTCAAAGTATCCTGATGCAGCACTACTGTATCTGCCCGTTGTGGAGAGAGTGCAGGTCAGTCCTACAAAATACTTTTGCTTTCATCAAGCTTATGAACTTTATAGTCTCCTTGCTGAGATGGATTTTCTTTCTAAAGAAACTCCAGTGAGGTTTGATGTGAGCAGGAACACTTTTACCAGTGTGTATCAAGGTACATCAGCTAGTGTTATCCATTGCTGTGTTGTCTGAGGACCGGGACAAATTAAATAAGCTGGTGGATTCTGTTATGGCCCTGAGCCCAGATTCACTAGAGGATGTCAGAGAGGTGCTAACCAATCTGACTTACAGCTCAAGTTTAGTCTGTAATGGATTTTTAGGTAAGAAAAAATATTATGTATGTATTTAATATCTCATTTGGCTGGCTAAACTCATAGTTTAACAGGTCCTGATGTTTTTTTTTTTAAGAACATCTCTTGTTTTGTCCTGTGATGACAAGCTGTTAAAAGTAGTTTTTTTCCTCATCCTGGGATAAGCTACTACAACATTGTCTGTATAGGGATGAGAAAATTACGAGTGGATAAACTCATTTTAAATTCATTACAACCAGATTTAGCTGCAGTCGAGCTCTCCATGTGGAGCTGACAGTGCAAAAGTTGTGATTTTGAGGGACAGCTCCTGCAGACAGCATGAAGGAACGCTATTATTTTTTTTTCACGCCAGTGCACGACTTGTTCCAGTCAGTGCTCCCATCTGCCGATCACAGATCATATGGAACTTATACATTGATCTGCCTTTAGAGCACACTGCTGCGGTGGAATGGTCACTTTCTAATGGTTTTCTTTAAGAACTCCCAACTTTCGTACTTCAGGGTGGTGCTGCGGGGGATCTTTATTAATATTTAAGAGCTGATTTATTGGTCGGGTTGTAATGCTGATTAATTAAATTACTCAGAAAGTCTTTTGTGTTAACAGGGTCTTAATTATAAGTAAATTTTACAATGATGATGATAATGAGAGTAATGTATACCATATTTGACAGGTGTTTATTATTGTGCTGGTGCATATAAATACACAGTTTTTGGCAGAGGCAGCTGTAAAGACAATTTGTTGTTGTGCTGATGCTGATAATCAGGTGCGTGATGATTACTTTGTTCTTTCAGGATTTTTATCCATTTGTGTTTTGTGTCGTCTGGCTCATAAAATGGCTTGAATCAGTTTCTTTTGTTGAGAGTTTTATGAGTTGATGAGACAAGAATTTAGTCGCTGATTGGAAGTCATACTCAAAGTGTTTCTACCACACCAGTTACATTTTCAGCACTGTTTTTTCAGAAAGAAATTAGCAATAAGCTAACGAAGAGAGAACGACTAGTCTGTGAACCAGCTCTCCGAGAGCTGCAGCACTTCCTGATGCAGCACTATCTAGCTCTCTCTCTGCCTGCATAGTCCTATTAATAAAAGCTGGCAGTGCTGCCCTGTGCCGCACTATGTTACTGGGTAATAATGTGTTTTGTCAGAGAGAGGAATATGAATGGGTGTGTGTGTGTGTGTGGCTCTGTGGGGGAATATTGTAGCTTCCAGGGCCCTGTTGTAATATACGAGGGACCACAGAGAATATCACTACTCTAAAACATCAATTACCTCTCTTGCTCTCTCTTTTCCTGTTTCTCCCCCCCGTTTCTCGCTGCAGTAAATACAGTGTAACCTTGTCATCAGCGTCCCCTCCACCTCTGTTTCAATTTGACAGTGAAGAATGCAGCTGCAGTGAATAGCAACGAGTGTGTGTTTGTGTTCACGTGTGTTCCTCCGTCTTTCCCATCCCTCTCGCTTTCATTCTGTTTATCAGTGTGCATGTGTGAGTGTGTTATCAAGTAATAATTTTTGTTTTGTCTTAGAGAGGAATATAGATTGTACGTGGCAATAATTTCAACTTGGTCTCCTTCTAGATCTTCTGCAGATGTATGTAGTTGCCCCCGTTAGCCTCCTATTACTTTTGCTTAATCTGTTGGAAACTGTCTGTGTGTGTGTGTATTACACAACACACATACCCACACCTTCCCAGTACACACACATACCTATCTGAGCCTCTGAAGTCCGACTTAAATAATCTGAGCAAAAAGGCCAAAGACAGATGATCAGAATCTGAGAGCACAAGTGATTCAGATTCCGCTCGTCACCCTTGCTTTAATGCAGCATGCAACAACACACACTCACATATCTTCACACACACACACACACACAACAACCTAACACGCTCATTTATATAAATACTTAAGAAATATATACTTAATAATTCATATTATTTACAACAATTTACAACAACCTTTTAAACATGTAATTGATACCTTTTAAAGTTGTTTTTTTAAAAACAAGAAACAAGAACAATTGAAATGCCCAACTGCAGCTGCTACTTCCCTGCTACTGTGTGTGTGTGTGTGTTGGAGTTTGTAGATATATGTGTAAAAGCAGCAGGAGAGATATTATTGCCAGCAGTGTCTTGGGAGAATGCACATCAGCCAACATCTAAACAACGGCACATCATTAATCATGTGAGGCCTGTCCTCTCTGACCCCGTCCTGTAATTTGTTGAACCTTTAACAGTGTTAACTGTCCCGTTTTATGAGCTCTCCACTAATACTGAAGTGCATAGATAAATCACCACAACACTTAATCTATGACTGTATTTTGGAACCGGTTGAGTACGTTGACCTACAAAGAGGTGGATGAAGGGGAAATGGTGCAGAAGATGGAGCACAGCAGGGTGGTCTGCTGGTATAGACGCTATCCTGTACCCTGAGGGTTAGAGGTCGGTTCTTTCCACAAATCAAATTAATGTCCACTGCTGTCAAAGCATTGTTGAGCAAGACAGGACACTCTTATCTGTTATGACCTCTGGTGAATGTGTATTTTGAGAAAAAATACTTTCTGGCACCTGATCTAAAGGTATGGCAGTTTGTCATGACTGAGAGTAAATCTTTTTTAGACTAATATACTGTGATGTGCTGTATTGTATGTGAACCACAGTCAGTGTTGTGGTAGTGATTCAAACCTGCTTGTTTTTGTTTTGTTTAGGGTGTTCCGGGAAGCCCAGGCTCCCCTGGTAGAGACGGCCCCCCAGGAGCAAGGGTAAGACAATAAACTGACATTACTTCTATTACATCTACAGTTTATGTATGTATTGTATTTGCATTGTATTGTATTATTGAAGAGACATTTTTATTGAGTTAAACTAGGCATAAAAACACAATCCTTAAAGTTAGAAAGAATTATATGATATAATGATAATAGTATATTAGTTGAAGAGAGTGGTTTAAGATATGAAAAAGGTCATTTAGAAATTGTTTTGAGAAATTATATTTACACGACATTTTAAGAGATTTAAGAGATTGTCCTTCTTTCTTATCTTCTGTCTGTCGGTTTTATTCATTTGTTCATAATCTGGTATTTTGACATTCTCTTGATGTTGCTACTCAAACTATCAACGGCTTGTCAAAACTATAATCTATAATCAGCGATTTGTGAAGCACTTACAATCTTTTTTCCCCCCAGATACTTAAACTGTGACAAAGTGGTGGTAGACAAGAACTGATGAAAATTGTAAAAGTTGAAAGCATATTATTTGTCCAATCTTTCTTACTACAGGTGATATTTACACATAATAGTTCTTCAAGTCTCTTGTAAAAATATTTGTGGTACTTTTCCAGCGGTGTACTGTATCTGAGCATCCAGCTGTGTTTGTCTGTTTGGTTTCATGTCTTAAGTCTTCCCCTGATTGTAGACCACAGTAATGCCTGCCCAGCGTTTGAACACCTACAATAGATGGGATCTCATTCATAAAGACTCTGTGATACCAGCTGGCTGTGGTTGATGCTGACAGGAATCAGGCCTTACAGTGCCCAACTGGGTTGTAAATACCAAACCAGCAACGCAGCCAGAGCGCAATGTGTCGGCAAGCAGAAGGAGGAGGTTTTATCCAAATACGTAATAAGATAACAGAAGAGTTTTGTCCTGGCCTGGCTCCTGGTGAGGTGAAAGACTCACACACATAATCCATCTGCTGTCTCTGTGTTGGCTGACATGGTTCCAGACGCTCATCCCCTCAGTGCTAGTTTTCAGAAGAAGCCATGTGTAGCTGTCAGGCTTGTCATGCGGTTTCCTTCAGGACACTTGTATGTTGGCTGCAGTTTCTTCTCACAGTGCCATATAGGCTTTCAGTTCATGAACTTTTAGCAAGAAAGGCTTTAACTCGCATTCTGTTTTGGTTTAATTAAAAGTGCCAATAACAACCATAACATTGCCAATTGCATCTGTGCTAAATTCTTAAATCTGCTTTGTATTAGCGACTTAGTTTTCTACTGTTTTTTTGTTGCTTTTGGGGAGTGATTTCTGACTATTTGCCTTTTTTTAAACAAATGCATTAATATCAAACAGTTTATGTCTCCATTTGATTTAAGGATGTTGCTGAACGAGCTACCAGTAAGATATAGTTCCTCATATGGCTACTACAACACAGATTGACTAGGAAAACTCTTTCACCTCTAAATTAGCCAAGTGGTTTGACTCTTTTTAAGCTACAACTTACAGTGATTTCAGATATAAATTATTACTAATTGCACTGTTTTCTTTTTAGTATAGTATAATTTGCTCATCAGAGAGTTTATCTTTATTTAGAATAACAATAGATTTTCCTACAGATTTTTTCAGGCATTCTTTTAATTGCTTTCATTATTGAGTGGTTATCTAGACACTTGAGCTTCTTGTACTTGTAAATGGGGTTTTCTGGTTCTAAGATTATTTGGTTTGGTTATTAGGGCAACACCATCTGTCAGTCCCAACCCCTTCAGTCCAACTGTAAATCAATGCAAAAGTCTCCACCAGCTGTAAAAATAAATAAAAGAAAAAACAACTTGAAAAATAAATGTTATAGCTATTTTATTTTATTTTGCAGTTTACAAAGCCCTGTTCAGCAGTTTACTGAATCCAGTCCTCCTCAAATTTTAGAATTACCAGCCTGCACTGTGACACATCCACGCTCACAGAATACAGTGCATGTTTACTAATGTAATTATTGAGTGTGATCATGTGAAATTACTAATCAGGGAGCAATTTTAGCTGGTATAAATTGGGAAAGACATCCCCCTTTGCAGCACTGATTATGACAGGCCTCCCACATCCCTGTTCTATTAAAATGCTGCAGATCTTCTGTGTATTTTTTATATTGGTTGTAGAGACTACAAGAAAGACAACTCCACAATGGGTATGTTTGTAGAATCACAAAGAGATTATAATTCAGTTTACATACACGGCAGGAAACATCTCAAGCTTTTATTCTGCAGCATTGCGCTCTGATTTTTGCAGCAGCGTGTTCAGGCTGAACTCCTTCTAAATGTTTTTTTTTTTCAGTGGACCCATTGAAAGCTGTAGGGAAGGGGGAGTGCAGTGAATACTGATACGAATCAATTTACAAGAGGTTATCAATGCAACAGCAATTTCTGCTATCACTGTTTATTTGACAGCAATATAGAAAGTAGAATATAGCCAATTGAACAGTAAGAAGTAGCTTTTTAAAAAGGAATGCTTGTGCTTTTTTGGGGTTATCCCAGCAACTAGTCCATATCATCCAGTGTTTATAAAGCAAAACAGGGAAAACAGATAGTCCTTTGTTGATTCACAGTTAAACATATACCTATACACACTACACAAAACCTTTTGTGAGGTGCATGAAAGCCAAAAAAATAAAAATAAAAAGCAAGCTAAGTCAGGCCAAGACTGTACTGCAGCAGCCAGTTAGATCAGTTGCAACAACAGTAACTGTCTCCTGGGTACTTTATTTGTGAAATGGATCAAGGAGAACTGTAAATCTTTTTATTTTGTCATCGATCCTTGCATTACAGAACCTTTTAAAGTTTTTAAACCCGGAACAAAACTGAGCTGTTTCCCCCTTAAGATACAGGCTCATAAAAACGTGCTGGCTCTCCTGTCATAAAGAGAACCCACAAAACACATGTCCATCATTCTTGCTCACAACTTTATTATTTAAGATATACTGACGACTTGTGAATTACTATAACACTGAAGAGGTGAAGATCTCATCGAAATTTTACCTGCCAAGCTCACCTCGTAGCCCTTTGCAAAAGGAAGTTTAATATAAATAAAAAGTTCAGTCTCGTTAATAGAGGTTACACAGAGAAAACCTGCACTTCGTTTGTGGGTATTTCAGCATGCATACAAAAATCTGAATTCGATTACCCTCACTCCAGTTTCTTAGACTATAGGTCAGTTCGTAAACCTGTTGCTGTTTGGCTTTCAAAATATAACAGCAATGATACATTTTCATGAGCCTGACTCCTGTGAGAAAATGCAGGAGGCTGAATTTCTTATTTGAGCCGAACTATAATATAGCCAGTATTGGTAGTGTTTATAGTGTGACACCAGGCTGACTCTCGTCCCAGTGTCAAATCTAATGCTTGTTTGCTTCACAGTGGGAAATTTTGTGCTTCTGCTCAGTTTGAAAGGATTTCAAAGTAAAAAGTGTGTGACATTAAATATTGGGAGGAACTAAGGCCTCCTCCAGAGTCCCATTAGTGGGTTTGCCAGGGCGAGTGTTTACTTTGTGACACCAGAGTGACTCTCACAGAGGAGCTTTCTGATGTCACATACTGGCTCAGCTTTCCAGAGAAGCAGAAGAAGAACACTTGGTTTTGGTGTATTTATTTGGAAGGTAAAGATCCCCATGAGAATTTAACTAAGCTTGATGTTTTAGCTGTTTTTGGGAGAATTTAGGATGTAACTCCACAGGGGAAATTCCGGCTCCAACGTGTGCTGTCCTTCTTTGTCCTACCAAAGGAGCATTATAAAAACTGTACAAGTCTAACATAACACGTGTCCAGAATAAATGCTAAGAAAACTCAGAAAACTTACCACATAGTTTTTCCAAGTTTTTCAACCTAACATATTTTTTTATTTAAATATCTAGCACACTTTATTCATTCTCCATTTGTATGTAATTTTATTGTTTTTAATTCATGGCTTGTACTAGTGTTAAATTCAGTACCATATAAGGACAGTGTCCATGTTGAAAGGGCATCAGACTCAATGTATGACCACAAAGTAACTTCAGACATCCAAGCTAAAATGAAAGGATTAGTTGAACCTCAGGTTAAGCTGTTTTCCAGGAGTTCAGCTTCCAAAATATGTATTAAAAGCACTGAATTTGTTCAATTTGAACGACCCATGTTATTATATATCCTGTTATTACATATCATACATGAACAAAAACAGACTTAGAAGTGTCATACAGTAGGTATGAATGTGTTCTCCTCAAACCACAGCCTCATGGTGAAGACATTAAACGGCAACGACGGTTTTAAACACCTTGAGGCAACTAAAATACACATTGAGAAGAACAGTCCGGAAGAATGCACCTGTGTTTTGTGCAAACTGTCTAAAAGCAAAACCAAACATAAAGATGTGATCGGAGGCAGTTGTTGGTAGAGGTTTTGAGCAGCAGATGCAACAGTTACTGAGTTTGGTTGCCATCAGTAGCCAGTATGTTAATTGTTTCAGAAAATAACATTGTTACTGTCAGTTTAGTCTGGAGACTTGCAGGCCAATTCCTCAGGCCATTTATACTGGGCTTGTGCAAAACTAAGTTCAACCTACAATTACGAAAGTGCACCTAATATGTGTGTATTCATCTGCGTCTCTCTCAGGGTCTGCCGGGTAATATTGGACCACAGGGACGACAAGGACCTCCTGGACCCATTGTAAGTCTTATTATCCTCAGCATCATTTCGTCTGACAGATTACCCCTGATACATGGGCCGACTGATCTCTCTGCTTCCTGTCACCTTCTTTCTCCATCTGGCTCTTTCTCTTATTGCCTGTCTATCTCTCAGGGATCCCCGGGAGCACCAGGAGCTACAGGACCTGGTGGGTCAGCAGGGTCCCAAGGAGATCAAGGACATCCTGTGAGTGAAAATGTTTCATTTTGTGACGATTGATGTGAAAAAAATGTGACACTGAACTGAGCTTAAGATACAAGAAGGCCTGTGGTCTCAGCTGTAAGCTAGTTGTACACATTATCCCTCCACTCATGACACAACATATCCAAATTAACAATGAACCAAAGAGGACATGACCTCTCCACTACTTCCTCCTCTGATTTCTTCTCTGATTTCTCCTCCGATATTTTTCTCCCATTATACAACAATGTCTGAGCTGCATCACATAAATTGTAGTTTGGTTCCAGTGCTGACAAGAAGCTCATGCTTCATGGATTGTTTGTTTTTCTCCTTTTCGTCCCGTTCCAATTTCTGATCTCCTTTCTGCTACCTGGAAACAGCCTGTTAGTGTTGGACGGATTACTCATAATAACAAATGTATCATTTAGTAATAAGTTAGTTCTGCTAATAAGACTGATCCTTTTAGAATATCCAAAATATACATCCTGGTACACTTATCCCATAAGGCGACTTTATAAGGAATAATGAATGTGACAGGGAGACATATTTTGTTGAGCCCAGCAAAAGAAGATGAAAGATGTGCGAGTGACACTAAACAAGCACAGAAAAGGATGCGGAGGAGAAGATGTGGGGTTCCAAACTTTGTGTAATGCTAACAGTAACAGATGATGCTGTGATGTCTGTGACAGCTAATCTAGTCTCGGGTCAGCTCTGCAGGCCAGCAGCAAAGTTTGGCTCAGAGAAGGAGAGCTATAAATCACTTGTCACTGACACTCTCTCCCCTTGCACACACACATATACAAAAAAAATAAACAGTGAGAGATCACATCTGCCTCATCTCTTACGTACAAGGCACAGTCACCCCATATGAATGTATGCACACGCACCAAACACACAAACAGAGACAAAAGGAGAAAATCAGATCTTACTTTCCTGAGCCACAGTCTCTACATTTTTAGTTTCAAACTTCGGCTCAACATTCAATTGCTGATTCAGTCCCCGTTCTGCCCCCTGCAACCTTTTTCCATATTTCTGCTGCAAGAGAATATTTTTCTTCTTAAACAAGTGTTTTTTTTAATCTGGAATAGAAACCATCCAAATCTGCAGGGAACTGCATTTTGCTTTATTGTGTCACAACTGACCTTAAGACGTGGAAGTCAGCCCAACCAGTTTTGTTAAGGTGGACACAAAAGTGCCACATATCTGTTCCACTGGACTGTGAAAGGACCGTGGATGTAAACATATTTGTAGCTTATTGTTAGGGCTATATGAGAATTTCTAGCCAGCTGGTCCAAGTTGTCAGTTTTGAGGATGCAGAAGTGGCAGATGTCCCTTATCGATAGCAGTAAAATCCAGTTTGATTAGGCATTTGGATTGGTAAAAAAATATGGTTTACTGTTCCACTGACTGTTTCACATACCTCTATATTTACAGCTCGCCTCACACGTCTATCAAGTTGTCGTAGCATTTGATGATGTCCTAAGTGTGTGTCAATGGGTCCAAGTGTGTGTGTGTGTGTGTGTGTGTGTGTGTGTGTGTATGACCGGGACAAAATACTGTTCCTGAATGTGGTTTCCAGTGACACAACCACCTGGGGGTTTTTAATTTATCTTGCTTGACTTGGTAGCAGGCCTTCTTAGGTTTGCCAGTTATGAAAGAAAAAAGCAACAATCTTCTTGTGACTGTTTTATCAGTCCACACTGACGTGCTGTGCAAGAGGAAATAAACGTACTTCCCTCTGAGGATGAACTGTAAAACACTTTGAGCGAAAAAACATCGACTGTACTTTGGACTGACTGTGCATACACAGGGCACTATGGGAAGATAGTTTTGATGAAATAATAAAAGAAATCAGGTTTTTATGTGAGATATTCTCGTCTTTTTTAGGCTCAGATACTTGTTTTGGCTCCCACGCAGTTTGATTTGGTTTTCCCATGTCACCCTGATAAGACGGTAGACATTTATGTGCCCAGGAAGACTCAGGAGATCCAGACAGACCCACAGAGGAGGTCCAGGAGAAGACTTTTATTGTGGAGACCTGCAGTCCAATTCAGAGGCTGTGTCAAATGTTGGCACAAGCTTTCTATCATCTGCAGTATAATATGCATATGATATGCCAGGCCTGCACACACATCCTCAACCCTTCCTTATCCACCAACCCACTTGCACATAAACACACATCCAGCCAGTCAGTCGGTGGTCAAGGACATGTTTCCCCCAAGATAAACAAGCCTTTATTCAAAAGCTGTAATACCATCAAACTGATATTTATCATATCAGCACATGGTTCTGTGGCCAGGAAATATTTGTCTTTTTTTTGCCTCTGGATTACAATGCATTACACTATGATATGCATTCACAGGCTTTATGTGCTTGGCAGGTTTTTGTGTGCATGTGTGTGTTGTGATCAGATATGCATCTGTGTGCTTTACAGTGTTGGTAGTAGCGGAAAGTAAAGCACATCCAAGTCACAGAAATTGCTATCTGTTTGTGGGCACACAGGCTTTGACGCTTATGTGTGTGTTGCCTTTAGGACACAAAGAACCTGGACATATTGTCAAAATGTAAATGCATTTAGTTATACCAGCTGTTAGATCAGAGGGAAGTGTTTGTGCGTGTGTTGAAGAGGCATAAAGGACAGAAGAGAGATAGAGAGAAATGGGATGGGGACATTAAAGGAGAGAGGAATAGAGATGAGCATGGCTATTTCTGAGTGCACATCGCAGTCTAATGTTTATTCTTCTCCTGTGCTTTTATGTTCCAGGGTCCTGCTGGTACCAAAGGCGATAAGGGAGAAAGAGTAAGTCGCTCCACTCACACATTTCAACCACTGTTTAGAGCATATCAGGTTTTACTGCGCTGTTTCGCAGTGGAGATACTGTTATTCTGCTAAAGTAAAACTATTACTCTCTAATGCTTTACAACCTTGTTTTGAAGAAACAGAATTACTCTCCAGTACACATTCACCGTTTCATGTTCATCTTTTGCACAAACATTTACTTTATTTTTTCTCTTTCACTCCCTCAACCTCATTTAGAGCAAAGCAAATCAAATCAGTGTTCATGGTTCAAATTTGCAGCAGAGCAGGGTCTGTATTTTTGCTGACACAGTAGCCAGGCCATCACTGCCGAGAGCTTGAGAGACATGCAACTTGAATCAAACCTTAAATTCCTGTTTCTGCTCAATTTTATCGACTGTTAGGGACATTTGTACCTCGTTGCAGTTAATTTCCGTTTCCAATGTTTGACACGAGTCTCTTTAAAAAAACATGACAGGATTTTCTTCCTCAGTGTACATTTTGTGGGTTGGCCCAGTTTTCCAGAATCTGGTTAGTATCTTGTAGTTTGCATCTCACCCTCATTTCACAGTCCTGGAGTGATTTATACGGTAATATCTGAACAGGGGAAAACATTTACTACAAACACTTACTACTACACTTTTGACTCTAATACATGTTTTGCAATAAATACGTTAATAGATGTCAAATCTAATCTATAATTTGTACATGGCAAAGAAATTCATTTAATTTATTATAAACATCAGTTAAGCAGTGAGACTATGTTGATTTAAGATGTGTGTATGGCTTTTCAGTGTTACCATGCATACAACTTACACTACAGGTGCGACTAAGTCAGCTTTATCGTCTTGAAGGTCCAGTGTGTAACATTTAGGAGGATCTATTGGCAGAAATGAATTATAATATTCATAGTGATGTTTTCATTAGTGTATAATCACCTAAAATTAAATAAGCTGTTTTATCTACAAAGGGAGCGGGTCCTCTTGTCTCCTGCACGTTTTTCATGAGTTTTACAGTCACTGTAATTTCTCCTACACGCTTAGAAGTCTGAGCTGTATACAAATAGTTGCTATCTGCATCTTCACCACTAGATGCCGCTAAATTCTACATACTGGTCCTTTAAAAGACAAGTCTCAACTCCATTACACTCAACTTGTAAGGGTCTAGTGTCAACAACAACTCAAAATCAATGAATCTCAATGAAAATCAATCTTTTCAATGGATTTATGTAGAATTGCTACTTCAGTGATTTAGTGTTGTGCGTCTAGAACATTGGGGGACTTTTGAAATGTGGTCAAAATGAAAGCATCATCCTTGACTTATGCAGCCCAAAAGGGGTTATTTTTTTCCAACTTCCGAAAGCTCCCGAAGAAACAGACAGAAGACATTATACAACTCCTCATGACGAGTAGACTGAACTTGCATGTAAAACCTGTGCAGTGCCCATTTAATGGTGTTTAAAAAAACTTCTACCTAACAACTACAATAAAAACAAGGTTGATTTTTAAAATGTGTTATTCTGTAGAATATGAGTGGCAGTACAGTCAACGTCTGCATGGCTATGCCCAATTATTTTCTATGATAAAATATTGCTATTTAATTGTGTAATTCACAAATACTCTATACGTTGCTCTCATAAGTGTGCTATCTGTTATGGCCGATATAAATGTAAGGGGCTTGAGAGGGTAAAATAAAGGAGGAGTACACTCATTAAAACACCCACAAAACACCCACCCACCAATTAATCAACCACTGGTCTGGGCGTCACTGTGTCACTGTGGTTGCTCAAATAGAAACGTGGTGTATTAGTCTACTGTGTGGTTGTGTAATATCGGACCGTAAGAGCTCCCTGTTTGTTCTTCAGGGTGATGTGCAATCCCAAGCTGCTGTGCGTGCCATCGCACGGCAAGTGTGTGAGCAGCTCATCCAGAGTGAGTATTCAGTGCAATTTCTTTGCTAAAAAGGTTTCCTCTGACTTGTACTGGCTTCACTTCTCTTTTCTGCTATTCTCTTCTTTTTGATTAAAAAACATTCTCAAAAGGTCAAAAAGGTCATTGTAAATCATTAAAAAATCCTCTGTTTCTTGCAGGCCACCTGTCTCGCTATAACTCCATACTGAACCAGATCCCCGTCCAGTCAGCAGTGTCAGTCCGAACAGTACCCGGACCCCCCGGAGAGCCAGGTAGAAGAGGCCTCCCAGGATCTCAGGGAGAGCAAGGGCCACCTGGCAGGCCGGGCTTCCCTGGTACCAATGGCCAGAGTGGAAGACCAGGAGAGAGAGGTGAGAGAGGAAGATGTTTAGGGATGTGTTTAGAAGTAAAAACAGAGTATATTACAGGATGCACAATGCAAACAAACTGAAAACAAAATTCCTGCATATGTGAAAGTTGGCTACAGCCTTTGTGGCTCCATAGGGAGCAGTGTGATAAATTACCTCAAGTGATGTCACTTTAGTCAGGTTTGACATGGAGCAAATATTATCTCTTCTGCTGCATCGATTTTGTCCAACGTGAATCTGAAAATGTTATAGGAGTTGCATATAGATATATTCATATATACACAAATATTTAATAGTACAATTATAATATTATCCAATTTTATCTCTAAATCCAAGATTCAAGATTCAAGAACTTTATTTGCCATTTGTGCTTGCACACATAGGAACTCATGTGCAGTTATTGCTCAAACGGGAATAAAATCAGTACAGTCTGTCTGTTCTTCCATTATTTATATCTCTTTAGCCCT